AAAAAAAATACCATAAAAAAAAAATTTCCCTTTTTTTTAAGAACCTTTTGGGGAGGGTTGAAAAAAAAAGGGGGAGGGTTGGAAGTCCCCCCCCCCCCCCCGGGCTCAGGTCAATCTTTCCTTTCTGCATATTCTACAAAGGCAGTTTTTAATGGTGCCTTTGTGGATTGAGGAAATGATGAAAGCAGTAACTAATATGACAAGGGGGAAAGCCCCTGTTCTGGATGGATTTTAAGTTGAGCGGTACAACACATTTTTAAGCTTTCTAGCCCCTAGTTTTGTTGTTTGCACAATTCTATTTTCTAATTGAGTTCTCTTTCATCGGTAGTCACTGATGCTTACAAGGTCATGCCTTTTGTGCTAGTTATTGACCTACTTCATTGGTCAATGCTGATGTTAAAATAATAAATGCAATTGTGGCTGACACACTGGAACAAGTTATGACAAAGTTAGTCCGACCCAACCAGGTGGGATTCCTTAAAAAAGGCTGGGGGCTGACTAGCTCAGATTGCTTGTGGATCTGACTGCACTGAAAATGGGTAGAAAAGACACAGCTCCTATAATCTCTCTGCCAGCAAGAAAAGGCCTTTGATAAATATTTATTGGAAATTTACATTCTTCACACAGAGAAATCTGGGTTTTCCTCCAGAATTCCAGAAATTGGTTCAAAGTTCTCCGAAGCCCCTAGAGCTAGACATCGGATCAATAGTGTTTTTCTCACTCAAGAGAGGTACTAGCCAGGGATGTTCTCTCTCCCTCCCTCCATTATTATTTGACTTATATCTGGAAACACCTGCTGGGTGCCATTTAACAGAAACCAAATATCCATGGATTTGTGCATGACACATTAGAATATAGATGCATTCTGTATGCTGACAGTCCTTTGGAACTCCAGGCATCTGTTCAGGTTCTGAGGCAGACAGTTAATGATCTTGAATATTTATCTGGTTATTCTATTAACTGGTCAATAGAACTGATGTCTGTTGGAAATAATACAATCCTTGGAGTGTTAACTGGCAATCTAGCCTTTGTGATGAGTCTCTAATCTCCTAGGTGCGTTTTGCAAATGAATAAGTTAAATCTGAGTAAGTTGATCAATGTGCTCTCAAGGGACATCGACAGATGGTCAGCCTTAAAACTCAATCGTTACCTTAGGGTACACACACTGAAACTGAATGCAATAAACCAAATTGTTTGTTTTATGTGACTTTATTTTATTTATACCTGGTAAATGTTTTCAGAAGAGTAATGTTTTCTATAAATTTTATGGGGTCCATTCTGCCATGAATATCCTTGAAAATGAAGCAACATTCCTGCAAGGAGGGGGATTTGGCTTCCCTGATCTTTTCCTATACCACTGGGCCTGCCTTGCATTAGAGTTTGATCTTTTACATTTAGGTTGAATTTTTCTTCCTGGTCACTTGTAGAATCTGCCTGGTTGGACCCTCTTCCTAGATGGGTTGACTGGGCCGTCCTTTTACCAGAACCCACAACATGCCTCATGCAGTCATGACTGATAGCATGCTGTGCAGCCTATTTTCTTGTCAATTGCAATTGCAGCTTGACTTATTTCCACATGCAAAATTAACTTTACAAGGGAATCCATACATGAAGATTGGGAAGAAGATGTGTGTTTGGCCAGCTTGGACAGACAGACCAATTTTTACTTCGGTTCAGCTTGTTCTGGTAACTTTGGGCCATTTTCTGCAGGCTGGTACAGCTGCACCACAATATATACCTCTAAAACTCTGGTTAGAATCTAGGTTTGGCTGCGGCACTTTTACAGCCTCTAAGCTTCCTGTGTTGGGCTAAAATTGGCTTATAATTTATGTCTATAAACATGTAGGGAAAATATCTTGTTTTCTTGTGTTCTTTTTAGGTTGTGCAGCCTGCAAAAACGAAAACAGCTGCATTTTTTCTGGGTGTCCCAAAATTACAAGTGATGATTTACTTTCTTTCCTTTTTTCCAAAATAGCTCAATATTTTGCCAGCATCATGGTTATTGTTGGCTTATCTGTGGTGGTGACAGTCTTAGTTCTTCAGTTTCATCATCATGATCCACAAGCAGGAAAGATGCCCCAGTGGGTAAGTGGCTAATGCACATAAATGCCTAAAAATGTATAAGGAATATGGTAATATTTTATTATGCTGGTGCGAGTAGAAAGAAGGGAACATTTAGAGAGGGTCATAAGTCTTCCTCCATTTTTAACGCAACATACATGCTTTAGACTGAGCCTGAAAACGTGATCCCTCAAGTGGAATGCAGCTCACCATCAATTCAATCAATATTTTGTTCTCACTGCACGGGAATGCAAAAATAATGGTGGAGAATCACATACATGGTTGTTTGGCTGTTCTTGACATGGCAGGTCATAAGCTCTGCATATCTGTGATGAGGCACAGGTAGGTTGGCTTGCGGCTTGCAGGCTCTGCTTTGTTTGGACATCCGCCGAATGGAGGGCCACAGCCACTAGAATTAAAGAATTCTGGGGTCATGAATTCACTTTGAGAGCTAGAAGTGAATGGACTTCACTGTCTTTTTGTACAAAATTCCACTCACGGTTACCCCTTCCGCCCTTCTGTAAATTTTCTTCATTCCAGTAGTACAAGTTAGGGCGAGGATGAGTCATTTTGTTCCTGTTTGTTTAACATTTGTGATTGTGATGGGTTATATTTGCATGCCACCTTTCTCCTATTGTGGAACTCAAGGTGGCTATATATGGAATGCGCTCCCCAGAGAGGTCCGCCTGGAGCCGTCGTTATTTGTTTTTCGGCGCCAGGCCAAGACCTTTTTATTTAAACGGCATTTTAATTGTTAGTTTATTTATTGATTTTATATCTTTGGCCAGGATGTTTCCAATTATATTGTTTTTATACGATTGATATGTATTTATTTATTGTTGTAAGCCGCCCCAAGGCTTCAGCGAAAGGGGCGGTTTAGAAGTTAAATAAATAAATAAATAAATAAAGTGGTCTAAATAAATCAATATGTATTTATTTATTTATTTATTTATTTTTGTACAAAACCATATATATGGTTCCCAGGTGGTCTCCCCTCCAAGCTCCAGCCACCTCAGACCTGCTTAGCTTTACATCTCAGTGTCCGTATGTTCCTTCAGACCATTTTCTGGGCCAATTAGGAGTCATAAATCTTTGCCAATCTACAGCAAAGCACCCAGATGCCTACCAATGGTTCTTGATCTATCTTCTGCCTACCTGTGACCCGGGACTGCACAGCCTGTGACCCACCAAGCCAAATATTGCCTACCTGTCAGATCTTGTGACCTGTCATGATTGACATCCACCAGTTTTCAGATTTCAGCAAAAAGAATGCCGCAGCCTGCAGCTGTGCCTATGGAGAGGCAGTTTGAGGGCAGAAGGAAATGACACCTGCCCCTTCTAAGGCAGCTGTGAAATAATGGGACTTCAGGAGGAAATGATACAATGTCCGAGAGCTTTCAGACATCTGGAGAAGTGCAGTGAGGCACAGATTTTTTTTTGGTGTCTCAAGATCTGAGGGGTGAAATTTGGAGGAGGCTATGTAAGACCTCGTGCCATGTGACCTAGCCACTGTTTACCTAGTGGCATGATGCACTTTCTTTTTCTGCCTCTGGAGAAGGAATCCCTTGGGGACAATTAGAAGTCTGCAGAATGCAGAAGCATTAAGCCTGGCCTGTAATATTGCCCATGTAATAAGCATAAAATATTACCGGTAGCTGAGACAGTCTAGAGATACTTCTAGGGTATGGGAAGTGTACTACTGAGGGCCTCTCAGTATGGCCCCAGTCATACTGAGGACAGCTTACAGTCTTCAAGAATATCACAAGATTTGTAGCATGGATGTTCCTAGAATCAGTGGATTCCTATCTAAGGAAAGCTCACAGTGATGGCTGCTGTTGAATTATCTTTTGGCAAGCCATTTCAGCTGCTTCTTTCATCACTAACTCATAATTCATCTTCCAAGCATCTGCATCTGTGCATTTCAGCTGAAACAAAATAGACAGAAAAGCATACTTCCTCCTTTGTGGGATTGAGATGTTGCATTCTAGGCACCTGGGCGATTTGGAAAGACACTGGCCTTGCTCCTTAATGTGGCTAAGAATACCTTGTGCATTGCAAAGGTTTCATATGGAACATGGAAGGGGCATGCTAAAAAGCATGTTTGGTTTTGAACACAAAATTGGCCCAGGAGGGGTACAACATAGACTCATCTCTGTAGCTGTGCAAGGAATGCCTCAGCAGAATACTAAGAAGTCTTTTTGCTCATACAAACCAATAAAACATGAGAGAGTGTCGCTTTTATGATTCTTATCACATCAGCACTGTTATTCTTTCTCCAGCTCGCTTGCAGGCTGTGTTACGTTTTTCAGCTGGTAAGAAAAGGAATCTGTTGGAATACCTATCTGGAGAGAAGGGTGACTGCCCTTTCTAGGACTTTTATTTTCTGGCAGTCTTGCTGCAGTGGATTTTCTCTTTCACATAAATATTCTTCCCTGTGGAGCAGAGTCCTCTCGAGTTCATTTCTCAGTTTATAATTAATTGCATGTGGTCGTGTGATTGTTTCTCAGCTTGCAAATAATTTTCAAAGAGGGCACCTTCTTCAAGAGTTCATTCTAAAAATAACCCCCCAAAGAAAAGCTTTTTCTTGATTGGGGGCTCTATAAAATTGCCATTGCAATTCTTCCTTAATGCTACCATGAATGTTTACAAGGACAGGAAAGCCTGTCATTTGTCCACTTACTGGCCAGCTTAGTGATTAGCAGCTAATGAACTGTAGCAATGAGACCGTATTCTATGACACTGTGCATTGTTGGTGCATAAGGGTTTGATGACAAGTCTGATTTAGCTGAAGAAATTGGCAAATAAATGGGTGTGCTCACATATTTTCTCAGGCTGAAATGTTCCAGAATAGGAGGTGGTGTAATATTACCTGGAATAGTGGTGGCCATCTGTGTTGATGGGAGCAAAAAAAATGGACTCCATCTCTCTCTTCCACCCTTGCTAGGATAAAAGATTGCTATTCTAGACAGTATCACAACCCTTGGATCAGACTTCCAGTACTGGTTTACCTGTATGAGAAGGGCATCACTGAGTAGTGTTACTTTTAGTTCATCATTGTAAGGCAAGGCTCAGTCCAATGCATGTTTAGACAGAATAAAGGGCTGACAGTTAAGATACTGTAGGCCTTCTTTTTTCCATCTAAACATGCATAGGATTGCAACCCTAACCTATTTGAGGTATTTTTTTTACAAAAGCCAACACATTGTGAAGCATTTATCTCAGAGCTGAAGAATTTAAACCAAAAAATTCACAGGGAAGGACCATCACCACTTTCTGACCACTGAAGGATTTCTTCCATGCAAGTTTCCTCACCTGAATTTAGCTTGCCAAAATGGAACTGGAGCCTTGGCAAGGGTCAGGCCTGTCAGGTGAAGAGGTCAAAGGTCCACCTAGCCCAGCACTCTGCTTCTGACCATGACCCATCAGGGGTCTCAGGCCCCAATTATGAGCAGGGCCGGAAGCAAACAGCTCTCTTCTCCCTTCCCCATTTTCTGTCCCCAGCACTTGGTGTTTTAGGACTTTTCAACTAACTGCCACTACCTTATAATGCAAGAATCAGAGCCCATTTTTATAGAGAATATTCCAGTTGTTCCTCTCAAATACTTTGGGACATCCACAGATGTTTTAGAATAAAATTCTTTCAAAGGTGAGTTGAAATCTCTTGGGAAGGTAGACCGGCACACCCGCCACCTTCTGACATCATCTAGCTGTCACCATCTGGGATATCATCCCAGTCCTGAAACAATTCTGTCACCTTGACGTTACACCATAAGAACAGAAAGGGCAGGCCTTCACAGTGTCTGTGGTCTCTGAATTCACACAGGAGGCATCCATTTGTGCTCACGCCGCACAATCCAAGCAAGCTGCTATTTTGAAGATAAGTATTTGGATCTTCCAAACTGAAGCCTTCTGGGCAGATCCTCCAAAAGTACTAACTTTGTCACACCAATTTACCATGTCCTATTGCAATTTATGAAAGCCTTTGTAGTTTGTTGTACAACACATGCAAAAGAAAGAGGTCGAGAAACAAGTAGAAGGCTTACAGAACTAGTCTCCTGGTTATTTGGATCTTAACCAATATGTGGATTTGCATTTATTCAATATGAACCTCACAAGCAATATTTGGTCCAGTTTCTAGACAGATGATGACTGGCCTGAGGCATTTTGTTCATTGTTTAGCTGAGACTATATTGCAGGAGGTGTTGACATTAGCAGAGTTTGATTTGTGGATTATTTCCTCTGCACTAAAAATACTCTCTTCTTTCCTAACATAGCAAAAACAACTAGAACATTATTTTATAAGGCCAATTAACAGTTACATACATGCTTCCTCAGGGTAAGGAAATAATTTCAGTAATGTAGATACAACATCCAAGGGTATTTTGCTTGTAGCAATTGCCGCCTCCCATTCCATACTGATCAGTAAAAATAAAAAGAATTTGAGCCTGCCAGGAGCTCTGCTAAAGATCAGAAAAAGGCCAGCAGTTTCAGAAAGGTTGTGGGGCAGGGGAGTTCAGGCTCATGCATTACTTCACTAGCTTCACACAGTTTATATTAATGCCAGCAGAGCCCTCGAGAAAGGCCATGTGGTTATAACTGAGTATAAGGCTGGAGTGTTTTATTCAGAAGGCTCAAAGAACCATTTCAAAGCCATTGTGTATTAAGATGCAAAACGTGAGGGTGTTACCTTTCATCTGTTAATGGTGCAGAGAAAAGCCCAAGAATATAATCCTAGTAAAATGGCCTAGCTTCTTAATTTCCTAGCAATCTATCATGATTCTCATACTCTCCATCCATAAGGGTTGGTGGGAACCAACTCACCCCCATCCAGCTTCTGACTTCCATGAATAGATTATTTACTTGTTTAATTTATAACATGTCAATTGACCATACTTTAAGGGAAATATCCATTCAAACCTTTTTACTTCCTCCTTCCTGGATAGCTGAAAAGTGGCCATCATCAGTTTCCAATGTATGTGTGTTAATCTGGCCATTTCCCAAGCAGCAAAACTTTGCCCTTAGATGTGTGCCAAGGCCCACGTGATCATCCCAGATTGGGAAGCTCCTACACTCTTTGGTTTCAATGTTTCCCTCTGAAAAACTACCGTCTTCTAAATAACATAAATGGTCCTTGAAATTCTCCAAGTAACTTTCCACTCCACTGTACCTTAGAATATCAAAAAAGTAAATAATTGTTTATTTCATGCTACCTATATCATTTATGCATCTTAATTTGGAGTCAGGGCTCTTTCTGAGTAATTTTGACAGCCCCAACATGCCAATGGTAACACTCCGACTGTGGTTTGTAATAAAACATGGCTACATATGGAAATAACTATAATTCCCGCTGAAGTTATTTTTTGAGTTACATAGATTTAATTAATATTTTTGGTAGAATTAGTAAATTTAACTTCTTGGAAGAACTCATTTTTTTCCAGAAAACTAGCCATGTTTTTATTACAAAAGATGATGGGCAACATTAAGATGCAAACATATGTGAGTCTATTCTTCAGATGTCTGGGCTGAAATGGAAAGTGCTATGGACACACAGCTAATACAGACATTCTGTTGTCAGGCAATGGCATCTTAGGTCAGCATCCAGTGGGGCACTTCCACCCCTGCTGATTCCCATCCACAAGTGGTGGCCCCTGTTGCGCCTTGTGTAAGCAGGGCCAAGCACATACACAAGCAATATTTAGCCCTTTCTAGATGTAGCCCTGCAGTGAATGGAAGGAGGCCTGTAGGTGAAGCTCCCTTGAGGCATGCATCACCAATCTGCCTATTTCCATCTTTCATTCCTGCTCCTTGCTGCTACTTGTTGCAGTTCATGCGTGCTGCGTTCATTTGAAACCTCTGTGAGTTGCATTGATAGCCCCTATTGCTTTTCAGGTCCGTGTCATTTTGCTGAACTGGTTTGCTTGGTTTCTGAGAATGAAAAAACCTGGAGAAAGCATAAGGCCTCTTTCCTGCAGATACAGCCACTCAAGGCACCAGTCAAGTGTCAGCAGCGTAGAAATGAACGTCTTACCAGGACACCAATCTAGCAACGGCAATGTGAGCTACAGCTACCATGTCACGGAAAACCCCTGCTGCCTGCAGAACAGTGACATGGGCAGCAAGGGTGGAAAGGGCCCCTGCTCTTCACCTGAAGACACTGAAATTGCTCAGAGAAAAGCTTTAATGGACACCATTCCAGTGATCGTGAAAATCTTGGAAGAAGTTCAGTACATCGCAGCTCGTTTCCGAAAACAGGATGAGGGGGAAGAAGTCTGCAGCGAATGGAAGTTTGCAGCTGCCGTCATAGACAGATTGTGCCTTGTGGCATTTTCACTCTTTGCCATCATCTGCACACTCACAATACTAATGTCTGCTCCAAATTTTATTGAAGCTGTTACAAAAGATTTTACATAAGGCGAAGGTATCAGAAATGAACAGAAAACTCTCAAATGTAATTGGAGATTATGAATTGATGCCATTAATTTTGCTAAATAATGTTATCTAAAATGAGGAAGTTTATTTTCTCTGCTTACTTCAATAGAGAAAAGGAGCTTCACTATTCAATTAGCCCCATGATGCTAGAGGTAATAAACACAGGATTAAATACCTGGCAAAAGTATCTGTTACTTGTTTCTTAAAGAGTGTCTTCTCCCTGTACTTGTGATCATGACCTCTGATAAATATTAGACAAGAAATGAGATATAAACATAAGCATTACCAAGTAAATAGTTAATTATGTGTACTCCTAGGAAAACACTAGTGAACATTTTGTTGCATTGGTAAATCACTCCTAGATTTGCTAAATATCATGTTCAATACTTTTATTTTTCATCTTTGCTTAACACAGGATTTGTTTATGGTAATGTGTCACTTCAGCCTTGAATGATATTGTTAGTTGCAGTTTGCCAAATAAGTGGCAAGTTTTACCTTTTATTATCACTGTGATAGTCTGAAACATTTCTCCAGTTGATAACAATATAAAGTCAATACAGTGGTCTTTTTCTAATAAGTTAAACATATTTTCAATGTCTGACATTCAGCTTTTCTATTATGCAAATTACTAAGTCTCCTTTCATTAATTTGAATTGTTGTAGCTGCATGCTGTTATTCTCACCTTTCAATTAATTTGTATAAACTTCCAATTTCCTTAAACAGCATTGGTCTAATACATACTGATCCTCATTTCTGGGAGCATTATGCAGCAGTTCCAAACATACACCAAAGCAGCACATGTAACACTTGCTGGGTTAAAAACCAGCACTGTAAATCAGAAACATATTCAGATGGCCATCGTTTTGCACGTCCAAGGAAGAGTCCTTCTGTCTGCATCATATGGCTTTGAATGGGATACACATTTCCACTCTTACGCTCATGCATCTAATTGTACATTAACGTCTCATCGATGTACAACCTGAGTTGGATTGTAATCATTGCAACCTAAACTGAGAATTGTTTGCTATAGCTAGCAATGAGTAAAGGAGGGTACAACTCATGCATAGGAGCCCTTTAAGATAGTGATCATCTATGTGGCAGCTTTCTTCTACTGAAAGTCATGGCAGAGGAAGCCTTCAAATGACCAAATGCAAATGTGACCAATACTCCCATGATGAGCTTAGCCTGCCTGAAGATTGAACCATTATGAAATGTGTTTTGTATGGGGAAAAATGAAGTTTGAACCTGTGTGTACACAAAAGAAGTGTGTCATAATTACGGGATCTGTTGCAGAATGTAAGTATTTCCAGCAATTTTGCAAGCTTGATGATGGAGTCTAGAAAGTCATCTTAATGACAAACACAAGAAGCGGTTATTTAAATACCCCATAACTATTTTTGTGTGTCTGTGTGAAATATTTATTACTTACATTTTATAGATAAACAGAATCAGCCATTCCAATGCTGACTGCGACTATTTCTTAAGAAACTTCCTTTATAAGCAAATTGCATGCACAGAGAAAACAAGTTAGAAAAGTGTACAACATGGGACTTACAATAAGATACTTTTCCGATGCAAAACATGTTTCTTTGTTTGAAATAGGCAGATTTTGTAGGGTAGTTTTTTTTTTTTTTTTTTTTTTTAGAGCAGTACTACAGATGCATAAAATACATGCGTTGCAAATGAATACATGACGGGAAGGAGAGAGAAGGGAAATCAACACGATAGCTAAATGAATTAGAAATGTGAATGCATATCAGCTGGGAGAGATGAATGGTCTTCAAACGGTGAGATTACATGGGATGCTGAGGCTAAGGCACAGGGCGAGTCATCACTTGCTCGGCATGCAATACGGACAACAGGCGAGTGGTCAGCAACCATGTTTCAGTTATTCATTCAGCTGGCAAAGCAGTGCAGACCCTTTGGATATCCAGTAGTCACTTGGCTTTTTGGAAGGCAGTAAGACAGTAACCACAAAATTGGTAGAATGGCCTAATTCAAAAGTGAAGGAAAGTTGTCAAACTCCAAATTTCCCAAGCTAATACTAGCAAGACATGAATGAAATCTAGCATAAATAAAATATAGGATGTTACAACGTACTCATCTCATTAAGACTGAATGTAACCTGAACTGAAGGACGAGGGTCCCTGCAACTTGGTCCACATAATGGGGGTTTCTTGGAGCTAGCTAGCTTTGTGGGGAGAGGGAGAGGTCTACTAAGCTTGTGGATCAGTCCTTCCCATTTTCACGGAAAGCACCACGTGGGGCATCATGATCAGCCTTCTGTACATACAGAACTGGTTTTCAGTGACACTGTTGTATTGCGCAATTAAAGAAATGGCCTGTAATTCCAAAACAGTATCATGCTGCCTGTTCAAACTAAACACGTTGTTGGCCATTCCAAATTTGGAAACCACATGCAGGTCTAACGAGTGATCTTACCTCATGTAAATGTGAGTTAGAACTAGAGATGGGTGACATCCTTAGGGTCACATCAGAGTGGCTCAGAAACTAAGCCAAACTTGAATCTGACCTTGAACGTTCATCACCCCCACCCTTCCCACATACACCTCCAGAATCCTTCTACTTGGTCACCCACAATCCAGCTGCTCTCCCTCCATTTTACGTTCCTGCTGTCCCACTTACTGCTCTGTCTGCTTTTATTGATCCAGTGGCAACAGGGACAGGGAAAGGAAGTTTCTTCCCCATGCCTGGCAATGGCAGCGCTCGGATGGCAAGCTGCATCAGAAAAGAGACGGAGGTCTGTCTCCTATGCTTCCCAGTGCTTGGAAATGGGAACAGCAGCCTGGCAGGTCAAAGCAGCTCCTTCCTTTCCTCCTGTAGCTTATTTGTTGTTATTTTTTTTCCAAGACATTAAATGCACAGCACTGCTTACAATTGGTATATTACAGCAATTATTAATTAGTCTTTTTCTATGCCAGCTTAAAACCTACTACCCCAGAAAGCAGGCTGGAGATCCAGCTTCCTCATTAAGGATGGATATCAGGTTAATACAACATTATCTTTCTTTATTTCCCCTCTAGCTAGAGAAAAGCAACTGGTTAGTTTCTCTGCCAATGCCACTGACCATACTCTGAAGAGATGTTTCTGAAATCAGAGCCCTTGGGCATTTTTCCAAGATCTAGCAACCTCATTTTTTGCAGCTCCTAAAAGTATCACCAATTCTTTATAAGGCAGCCCCACATTCTACCAGTAAGCAATGAAAACAGTAATAAAGGTTCATTAGGAATTACATTTTGTTGTGTTACCATATTTAGCTACGGTATTACTTCATGCAAAAAAGGTTTGATCTTCAGACAAAATACCTTTGCCACCTATTTGTACAATATGACAGGAATTTCAATACACTTACAATATTCTGAAATTTACCTTGAGAAAAAGGGGAGGGACTTGTGTAGCTTATTTGTGGGGCACTGCAACCACTGGGGAATGGGGGGTGTCCTGCCTGTGCTGTCCTCCCCCTGTGGCTTGCTGCTGACATTGCAGAGGTGTGGGAACAACGGGGTAAGAATCGGGGGAAATGATATAGGACATGCTGGGCAACATGGCATTGGCTTGGATTAAAATGCCAGCTGGATAAAAATCAGAGATTGTGAGTCCCTGAAACACCTATTTCCAAGCCTAGGAATATGAGTTTTGCCAAAATCTGTATTTTACTTTTACTTTTGAAAAGTAACCTTGATGGCACAACCATAAATTCTGTCTTCTTTGCAACCTGTCAATTTAAAAAAAATATGGCCTGAAATGCCCTGTAGCAAGTATAACTTCTGAGTCACTAGAAACCCAACTTCTGGGGATCAGATTCATGACTATTGTGCTGAATCAGATCCCTTTCTGGACCTTTCATTAAATGATTATCTACAACTGGCGTAGAGACCTGGAGCATCCCTTGCAGTACACAGCACTGACCTCCACTGGGCCAACCAATTTTCTTAGGGTCAGTACCATTTCTATTCAGGTCAGCAGTGGTGAATGCTCATGTTTTTCACCTTTAGTGCCCTTGCAGAGTTGCTTTTCCACCAGTTAGATTACCCAAAGTTATTGTAAAAACTTTGTGGCCGGTGCCACAAAGTCCATTCCCTGGTGCTCGTCGCTGTATTTAGGCACGATGGTGCGGCTGTGTTAGAGTGTGAGGGCCTGCAGCTGTGCAACTATTTCCAATGCTGCCCAGAGAAGCCAAGCTGGGTCAGGCACCCATTAAGAAGTATAGAAGTCTACCATTCGCAAGGGGCAGCATGTTAATGCACATGGAGGGCACTTTCATGCATCAACATAATGAGCTGGAAGGGAACTCTCGGGGAAACGTTTGTGTTTCCCCTCCCAGTCTTTCCACTCATAAATGCCAAACCAACTCGATCAAATTACAGGAAGTTTAATTGCTTAAAACTTTAACACCGACCCTTTGTTTGGTGCAGAATGATGACTTTTTGCCCCCACATTTCCAGGGTATTCAACAAGTGGTGACAAAAATGGAAGCTGAGCAACAGGAGCCTGGTAAGCTCAGCATATACAGCTCCTCTGTTTTTGTCCTCAGAGTACTATCACCTAAGAAAGCATTTTGTTATGGCACACCACACTCAAGCCTGGCTCCTATAGTCATACCACTGATAGGTAGGTAAAATGGCAGCCAGCAAAACTTTCTGTGAACTAGTGCAAAGGGCTAGATTACTTGCTGCAGGAAGGTTTTGAAGCAGGTACTTCCATTTAAGAATAGACCTGATGATCAAAAGGGGTTCTGCTTTTTCCAATTTTCCTAGCATTTAGGAAATGGGTGGCCATCCTTGCCTTCCAGGGCTATATCTACCCCAATCTCCAGTTTAGTATCTGGATGAATGATCCAGACCTATGCTTATGAAATCCTCTCAAACATCATCAGTGCAGCTGAGTATGATGAGGTCGTTAAGATGCATGTTTAGACAGAAGCAAGTTCTACAACTCCCAGCAGTCATTAAGCCATCCTAGCAGGGGAGTGCGGGGAGTTTAGGACTTTTTCTGTCTAAACATGCATATGATTAAATGTTTAGTGAGTCAGGCAGGTTCCTAGTGTGTTCGGTAATCCAGTATTGTTGCTATATATAAATGATCTGATGAAAACCCCAAATTCTGATTATTTATTTATTTATTGGATTTATATCCCACTTTTTCTTACACCAAGTGCTTTACATCATTCTTCTCCTGCTGCACTCAATCTTATTCTAACAACAACAACCCTGTGAGGTGGTTGGGCTGAGAGTCTGCGGCTGGCCCAAAGTCACCCAATTGGCTCCATGACTGAGTGGGGATTAGACCCAGATTGCATGAGTCCCAGTATGTGGACTGAATACTGAAGATAACATGTACAAAATTTTAAAAAGGTACAGATGAAAGGGGAAGCTTACAAAAATGTCTACAGGTACTTTTCTCCATCACTATTTTAGTATAGTTTTTGGATTGCATTTTTGGTTTGAAGTCATTTACGAAGAAGTAGAAAGGTTGGATCCATGGCTGTCCTTTCACAAAAAGAAAGGTTTCTTCTGTCTGCAGAAAGCTTCCAATTTAGTGGGACATTTCCGCTGACAAAAGGGAGGTGGAGGCAACCCTCCTTCATTTGCATCCCCTCATCCCCTCTGAAAAATTTCTCTGGAGGATTGAGGGCCCTTTGGAAGAAAGGTGAAGTGAAGCTCCAAAGGGAAGGGAGAACCAAGCACCCCCTCCACCATCTTCCCACTGGCAGAAGCATTCTGCATAGAACTCTGCTCAGGGCAGAGAAGAACATGAATGGTGTATACAGATAATAAGCAAGCTGAAGGCGCAGCTGAATGCTGTATATACAGATAACTTAATGGGAAACAAATTAGAGAGAAAAGTACTATGCCTGTGGGAATGAAAGCAGTGAGCAAACTCATGCAATTCTGCTCACATAGGAATAAAAAATCTTAATTTCAATAAAATGTAACTTTTAAAAATCCAGTTGATTTAAAGCATATATTTTACTCTCAGGAAAAGAAATGAGACTTGGTTCTTTTTAAAGCTTAAGTGGGGCTAGAGATATGGCAGAGTTTCCTGATTCCTTGGCTTAAAATGTAATCCTCACTGACTTGCAATATATGCCACAAAATAGGGTAACTATCAGGGATCCCAGCTATTCACTTTGGAACAGATTTCAAATGGAGAACACCTTGTTATATACCCACTAACGTGCCTGCTGTGGTGCTGGCAACAAAGTAGGAGGGAATATAGGTCTCTCTCCCTTCCATCCTCCTTTCCTTCCCCAGTACCTGGGGCACTGGGAAATGTAATCTTCCAGGAAGCCTGGCAATATAAGAAGCCCCTTTGGAAATTATGGTTCCAGCCCTCTGGGAATCGGAGAAAGGGGTCTAAGGGACACAGACAAAGTCACCCGAACCTCACTCACACTGTGGCTGCAGCAGCTACGGAGGAGGTGCAGGGAGAAGGGGAGGAGCATTGTGGTGGCAGGCGTGCTTCTTCTGCCACTGGCACCGCCACCAGGCAAGGCGATCTGGGGGCCCACTACAGGACACGTTGCAATGATGAGTACCTTTAGAGCTCTTGAGGAAAAAGAATAATACAAACATTCTCTCCTTCTGCTCATAATTGCCAGCCCCAGTCTGAATTAGCCCAGGAAACTCACCCATTTCTACTTGCTTCTGAAGATGTGATATACCTCAGAGGATCTTTTCCTCGGAGGCATGGCTCTCTTGTAAGAGCACAATTAAGTTCACGCCTCTGTCCATACACATAGCATTTTCATGTTATGCCCAAAATTAACTAAAATTATCTACTTCCATTTGATTAAAGAAAAGGTTACCTGTGGTGGAGAGTGTTCCTGCACGGGCTCCAGTTTTATAGAGGGGTGCTTGATATAACAAGGAGCTTGGTTCATAGTTTTGATGGGGTTCGAAGTGCACAACTGGCAACATTGCGTTCATTTGCCTAGGGAAGGCATCTTCTATAACCATATATTCATTGTCCCAGCGGCTGGCATCCATAAACATCCCATGGACCAGCACACCATCTTCAGGAGAAGGGAGCTGAAAGGAATATCAAGAGATGAAAACCAACTAGCAAACGAGCTGAATAATCAAAAAAGCAGGTTGCTTACCTGTAACTGATGCTCTTTGAGTGGCCATCTGTGCAGTCACACATATGGGTACTGTGCCTGCGCAGTGCCTATGGCCAGGAGATTGATAGCTAACAGTTTGGCGGGAAAAACTCCGCTCCCCTCCCCCCAGCAGTATATATGGAGCGGAGTGTCCGCCATTTGATAGACCGGATGTTCGCTCTCTAAAGAAGAAATTGTAACTAAGTAAGGAAAATTTGTTGGTATCGACAACAAAAGAGAAAAATACTGTATAGGTACTGAGGCAAGAATAACATGGTACCAAAACACCACCCGGTGACACCAAGTGGGGCCTGCGGGTGGGTTGTGTGACTGCACAGATGGCCACTCGAAGAACATCAGTTACAGGTAAGCAACCTGCTTTTCTTTGTCGTGGCCTCTGTGCATCACACATATGGGTAGATTCGCAAGCTTACCCTGACTGGAGGAGGGAAGGTGTCATCAAGGTGTCATCAACGAAGAACAGCTGACAGAACGGCACGTCCAAAGGAGCAGTCCTGTCTCGCATGGACATCCAGGTGATAATGTTTAGCGAATGTGCATGGAGTGGCCCAGGTGGCCGCTCTACAGACATCAATCGGGACCCCTGCTGCAAAGGCTGAAGAAGCAGCTACTGCTCGAGTACAATGACCCCATGGGATTGTAGGTAAGTCCATCTTTGCCAACTGGTATGAAAGCATAATAGTATAAACTATCCATTTTGATAGTCTTTGAGGGGTAACAGGAAGTCCCTGGGCCTGCGCAGAGTATTTAACGAAGAGCCGATTGGAATGTCGAATAGATTCAGTTCTTGACCTTTAAAAGGCTAAGCAGCACCTTACGTCGAGTGTGTGTAAGGACCTCTCAATCGGATTCGATGGAGATGGAAAAAAGGCAGGTAAGACATCTCTTGATTCATGTGAAAAGATGTAGCCACTTTCGGTAGAAAAGACGAATCCATTCGTAGAACAACTTTCTCCCTATGGAAATTCAAGTAGGGAGGGTCTACCTTGAGTGCACAGAGCTCGCTAGCTCTTCGAGCTGATGTAACTGCTACAAGAAATGCTGTCTTCCAAGAAACAAGGCACAAATCGATACTCGCCAATGGTTCAAATGGAGGTCTTGTTAGTGCTTGCAATACCACTGAAAGACTCTAAGTCGGCATAACTGGTCTGATCGTTGGATGGAGATTATCCAGTCCTTTAAGGAACCTCTTTATCAATGGTTGAGAAAAGATGGAGAATCCCTGAATTGTACCAAGGTAGTATGAAATTGCAGCCGTGTACAACTTTATGGAAGATGGTTTAAGTGCTGATTTGTGGAGTTCGAAGAGGAACTGAAGAATATTCTCAATAGATGCTGAAACTGGCAAAAACGAGCGAGACTCGGCAAAATTAGAGAATCGCCGCCACTTAGCTGTGTGTGATTTTCAGGTTGATGGTCTTAACGCAGATTCGAGAATGTTCTGAATTTCTGGGTGGAAATTTGGCAAGCCCGCTGGGAAACTTCTCGAATCCGACGAGGCAGGGAAGGCAGACGGGTTCGAAGCATGGATTCGAGTGGTAGAGGCGGAGACACGATCTGTAGAAGAGGCAGACACCGTCGGTACCAAATCGGGTCCGACTGTCATCGAATCCGCCATGCTGTTAATTTCAGTGATGTTAAGTCCGGGTGGCGGACTGTGCCTGCTCGCTGAGTAATTAGATATGGGACAGATGGAAGTTGAAGATAGTCATCGTGAGATATTTGAAGGAGTGTTGAGAACCCTGCTTGGCATGGCCATCATGGAGTTATTAGAAGTCCTGTGGCCCCGTCGTGAACTATCTTCGATATTACTCTCATAACGAGGGGAATAAGAGATAAAGCGTAAAAGTTCATATTGTTCTAAGGGATCATGAAAGCATCCCCTGAAGATCCTTGTCTGATCCCTGCTCTCGAGCAAAAGGTTTCGCATACCCTGTTCTGACGGGTAGCGAACAAGTCCATGACTGGATGTCCCCACTGATGAAAAACTCAATTGCATATCCGTCGATCCAGTTCCCATTTGTGGGATGTCGACATTTGTCTGCTTAGAAGATCGGCCTCCACATTGTCTGTACCGGCTAGATGTACTGCCACGAGGGCAATATCTCTCGGGATGCACCAGTTCCATATCTGTATCGATAGGTGAGCTAACGTAGGCGACTTTGTCCCGCCCTGTTTGTTCAGGTAAAAGACCGTAGCAATGTTGTCCGAGGTTACCTGAACGACTTGGTGTTGAAGAATGTCTTTGAATGATCGTAGGGCTTTGAATACTGCCAGAAGTTCCAGGAAATTGATATGATTCTTGGACTCCTGTAGATTCCAGACACCTTGAGTGCGTAGATCAGAGCCCACTGCTCTCCACCCTATCAGGGATGCATCGGTACCAAGAGTCACTGAAGGGCACCAGGGTCGGAACGGAACCCCAACATTTAGATTGGCTGGAAGTGTCCACCATATTAGAGACCGAAGAACAGAGGACAGAAGCTGGATTAATTTCGTGGGCAAGTCCACTTGCGGTCGAAACATCTTGTTGAAAAAGAGCTGGAGCTGGCGAAGTTGAAGTCTGGCATGTGGGACAATGGTGACCAACGCAGCCATATGCCCCAAGAGTCTTTGGATGGATCGGGCAGGAACCATCCGGTCCCGTCGCATTCGATGGATGTGTCGAGCCAAGGTATGTTGCCTGTCTTGTGGAAGGAATGCCTTCGCTGTCATGGAATCCAAACGGGCTCTGATGAAATTGATCATTTGTGCAGGGACAAGAGAGGATTTCTCGATGTTAATGCAAAGTCCAAGATCCTGCAGCAGGCTGCGAGTCGTATTTATCGATGAAAGAAGCCCTCCTCTGGTCTGAGAGACTATTAACTAATCGTTGAGACAGGGGTAAATTTGAACACCGTAGCCATAAGAATGCACAGGCCGGAGCCATACACTTTGTAAAAACCCTTGGTGTGGTAGCCAATCCAAAGGGCAACACTGTGAATTCAAATATTTCCGATGCAACAGCAAAACGGAGGAAACGCTTATGGCATGGATGGATCAAAATGTGGAAATAGGCATCCCTTAAGTCCAATGAGGCGAACCAGTCCTCCCTCCTCAGCAACGGCAGGATATTTTGAAGGGTGGTCATCCAAAATCTTTTCGTTGTGATAAACCTATTAACGTTTCACAAGTCCAGTATCGGATGGAGACCACTGCCCCGCTTCGGAACCGTAAAATATCTCGAATAGCATCCGTGGAGTCCTTCCATGGGGGCTATTTGTCAAATCGCTCCTTTACGGAGAAGCTGTCGAACTTCATCGAGCAATGCTGGCGAGCCTGGCATAAACCAGGAGGAATGATGTTGGGCTCGATGGAGGAACGATGTCAAATTCTATCCGATATCCATGCTGAATGATGGATAACATCCACCTATCAGATGTGATGGACTCCCAAATGGGGAGTCGGCTTTTCAGCCGGTCCCCAAATGAGAGAGGGGTGGGTGAAGTGAGGAGTAGAGGAAAGGTCCGCCCATCCCGTCAACGTTGGTGCTTGTCGCCATCAAAACGGCGACAGCCCTGTTGAAAACATTGCGGCGGCTGTTGTCGGTGGTGTTGTAGCTGCTGCCTAGGCTGGTATGATTGTCGGTACTGTGGACGGTTCCAAGACCACTTACGTCTGGTTTGAGGCTGCATTTCCATGCGCCAAGCCGTCATCCTAGATTTGTGGATCTTCTTGAGCTTGTGGTCGGTCTTGGAGTGGAAGAGCCTGGACCCGTCAAAGGGCATCTCCTCTATGCGCCTCTTCATCTCCTCCGGGAAGTTGCAATTACGTAGCCATGCATGCCTCTGTAGGGAGATGGTGCCGACCAGAGTCCTGGAGTCGGTGTCAACATGATGTCTCGCTGTGGAGAGTTGTTGAATTGCGACCTGCATCACTTCCTTTATAAAGACTTTTGCGAGGTCGCCTTGGTTGTCTGGGAGAGTGGAGATCACATTATTGAGACACTGCATAATGAAATACTGGTATCGCGCCAGCGTCACCTCATAATTTGATATTCGCAGGCCCAGATGCCACATAGACTCGGCGAGCTACAGAATCAATCTTTCTCCCCTCTTTGTCACAGGGTGCGGTGTGACCCCGAGACTCCCTGCCCTGGGAGGACTCCACCACGACCGAGTTCGGTTTAGGATGATGTAGGAGGAATGGCATGTCCTCCTCCCGAACCCGGTACATGGCTTCATACCTCCTCGATGTTGGTTGCGGATGGGCAGGTAGGTCCCACGGTTGGGTCATTGCTTGCCGCAGAATGGTGATAGGCGGCAACACAATAGACGTCGACTGCTCCCCACGAATTACATAAAATTTATCAGTGCTGGGACTGGGCCATTGTAGAGCGTCGATCTCCAGTGACTGAACTAGGCGCAACATTAACTCAGCGAAGGAGACATGTGACTCATCTGGAGATCCAGGGCCCTGGTATGTCACCACCATGTCCGGAGAGGTGGAGTCAACCTCCGACTCATCTGAGTCTATTGTGTAGTATGGGGGAGCACTAGAAGAAGACTCTCCAGATGATACGGACCGACTGTTCTCCCTAGTCGGTGCCAGTGGTGCCCTTCTCGGAACCAGGGATGTCGGGCGGTCCTGAGGAACTGGTGGAGAAAGACGGTCTCAAGGAGCCAAATAGCATCCAATGGAGTGGTAATCCCCCCATCCGTGATAGAATGAGGATCGGAGATGATACCAGTCGTCGGATCTCCTGTCGGACAAACGGCTTCTACGACTCCTTGGAGGAGACATTTCAGTCTCTGCGTCCAATCTTGCTGGGGGCATCAGTGTGGGAGACCTAGCCCTGGGTGGGGAGTCTCGAATCTCTCCATCTGAGATCAATTCCCGATGTGGGGCCTGCGGAGGCTCACTTGCTGGACCGCCCATGCATCAAGGGGACCCCAGAGGGGTGACCCTCATAGCCACCTGGAGCGTTGGGCCCAGTGGTGTCAGTACCGCAACAGCCGTCGGGACTGAGGGTGCCGATGAACCCGAGTCTCGCTGCTTGGAATGCTCAGGCTTCTTAGGTTTCCGAGGTGGCTTCCCCGTCTTATGTTTTTTAGCCTTCTTATGGTCAGACGGCTTGTTGGAACTGCTGTGCTTCCACTTTTCATGCCTCTTCTTAGGCGAGGAAACAGGCTGATCGCCCATGGTGGACACACCTTCATCAGAAGGGCGCGAGGGCAGAGCCGTGGAAGAAGAGGCCGGTGGTGCAGGCAAGGCTGGATGAGTAGCCACAGCCGCGGTCGAAGCAGGGCGAGTAACCAGTGGGTCCAATTGGAGAAGTGCGCGGTCCCACAAGAGCCTATGAAGGTGGTTCTCGCGGTTCTTTCTGGCCTGCTTCGAGAAGGCCAGACAATGAGTGCATTTGTCCATCCTATGCCCTTCTCCCAGGCAGAGGAGGCATAGGTCATGCGGGTCTGCCGGGAACATTTTAGACCCACATTCCGCGCACTTGCGGAAAGCCGCTTGTTGCGCCATCGTTAGAAAAGAAAAAGAGAAGATAGTGCAGAGGGTAATAATATATTTTTGGTTTTCTTTTTTTTTTTTAGAAAAGGAAGAAGTGAATAAACGAGAGAACAACAAGAGAACAACAGGAACTATCGAAAAACGGGGGATGTTAAACTTGGAAAGAAGGATAATCGCAAAAGTTGAGGAGAACAAGAAATGGTCAGAGTGAGAGCAAAAGCGGCACGAGGCACAATGAACGGCAGTCACAAAGACTGGAAAATGGTGGACACTCCACTCCATATATACTGCTAGGGGGGAGGGGAGGGGAGTTTTTCCCACCAAACCGTTAGCTATCAATCTCCCAGCCATAGGCACTGTGCAGGCACAGTACCCATATGTGTGATGCACAGAGGCCACAACGAAGAACTGATCTAACAATTCACCTTTTTTTCCAATCTGTGTGAACATGTCCTCTTTAAATACATAGTAAAAAGAGTAATGGGGATTATGCAGAATTGATGCTGCTGTTTTATAAAGGTAACTCTGAGAACGCAAAAAGTGCTCTTTCTGTGTTACTGAATGTTGATCACAAACAAACCTGGGCATCCATTGGCAATTCTTGTCCAAAGTGACTCATTTTTGAGGCTTCTGCAACCTGCATTTGATCTCGGTAGACAGGGATGACATTATAACTAAAACTAAGCTCGTCAATTGGCAAGTTATATTTTCGAGCATGATTCTGAAGAGTTCCTGACAAATACAAAATGTACATTATTTTAAAACCCACACACAGTGATTCAAGAATCATTCAGCAAGCGAGTAACTGGTAGTTAGGCAAGCATTCACACAAAAAGAGAAAGAAAATAACAGTGTAGCCATATTTATTGCTAAAAATCAAACTCTTGATAAAAATTCTTGCTGAGGAATTAATTATTCATACTTTCAAAGAGTTTTCTTACAACAGGGCATAATTATAAACTGCGATTATGCTGAGGCTACCACTTTTAAACAAAGAAAACATGAAGGCATACTACTTTCAAGCTGAACAGACAAATGGTTATTATAGTTTTGTTACACTGGTTAATTTGGAAGTCTTATATTAATATTTTTATTACTTTTGTTAATTCACCATACAAAACACAGTAAGAAAAGAGCCCTCATAGAAACCTCTGAACTTATAATTAACCCAGACACAGGCACTATTCCCTTAAGTCTTTACAAATAGTATCCATTTCAAACTATAGTGTGTAAGGGCACAGAATAGTCTTTCACACATGTACTCCTTGTAGGATGGAGATCCACCCGATATAAGCGAGCCTTTTTGAATGAATCCCCAAGTTTGACCGAAGCAGCTGGATTTAGTCCCTTTCCCATAAAAAGTTTTCTAAAAGGACTATGTGGGTATACACAGGGCTGACCCATATAAGCTTTTTTACAGGACCATGTCATTGGACTCCAACACAACATCAAGCAGGGTTAAGTCCCATGATCAAAAAGATAGACAGAGGTGCACTTCCACTAACATCCATAGAATTTAAGCTTATCTTTAGCATTCGTATGCCTTTCAGGTCTCTTATACATAAAATAAGCAAATCTGATTCAATGGAGTAAGTCACACTGTACAGAGCAGGACCAACAGGATGGTACTGTTAGTATTGAACAATTTCTTGCGTAAATTTCTTGCGTATGTGCATGTTCCTTCATGTGAACATAGCATGTTTACTTCGTTACAAAGAAGCTTACTTTATTTCCAGTATAACTAGAATATACCTAGCAGTCCTTCTCTATTATAATAAAAGTTTATCTGTCAGAGCCGCAGTGCCAAAACTGAGAAACCTAAATACTAGAAATGTGGCTTGCATACTAAAGGAACCCTTGGCATATGCATCTCATTTAAAAAATAATAATTTGAATTACATTATATGTGCCAGTGTGTGTGAAACCTGCAGCACTATCTTGGTAGAAGGTCTCCTTGATCAGTATACGGCTTTGCAGTCCATGGACTTTAAAGTCAGAAGGAAATTCGGGGGGGGGGCAAAGTTAAATGGCTGCACCTGTGAGGAAGCCCCCTCCTCCCCCAGGAGACTATAGAGGTGCATCATGGCAGGGGTGCCAGCAGACATGGCTTCATTCAGACTGGGCAGACTTTGGGTGCCATGTTCTGAAAGCTGCTAACTTTTGCTTCAAGGCTTTTTATACTCCTGGGCCAAATTCCTCTAGGGGAAATATGATGGGGGGGGGCCCTAGGGGAAAAATCAGGGTCCCTCTGTCCTCTACTTAAGCACACTAACTCTCCCCCTCTCATCACAGTTTCAGCCCCCCCACACACATACCTCCTCCTAACTCCTCATCACAGACAGAACCCTTCCTTTTGCCCCCTGTGAAAATTATTCTTACAAATTCAACTTGCAACAAAGTCTTGCAGTGCGTGTCCTGTTTAGTTTTCCAGTTCTTGTCCAGATTCCATGATCCAGTATCATTTTGCCCCCATCCCCATGCCAGACAGTTGGCATTCCATGGCCACTGAGCACTTGCTGGGCAATTCTGGATGGACTTCCTCTTTAGTGTTTCTTTTTGCTAAAGGTTTTTGTTCTTCTGCAACAACTAAAAAGCTCATTTGAATCTGGTGATTCCTACCCTCGGTGTTGTGGTGTTTTGGCTACATAAGCAATGGCACCCATATCTGAACATTAGAAATATTAGAATTAGAATGAGAAACTATTACTATTTACCTGTCAGAAATCCTTGTGGAAAAAAGAAACCAGAGATCCAGAATGATTTAGGTTGACCTCTTTTGATCCAGAACTAAAACACATACATACATTGAAATATATATTAGGTGTAAAATGTGATATTCCATTTAACTTATTAAATGAAATGCTGGACCCTTTTTATTTGCATTGCTGGACAACAGAAGTGGGTTTGGCCAGAATTCTATTTCTTCATCAAAGCGAATATAAGCTTTTTCCCCATTATCTTTGAGCCCAATCCAGAAAACCTTGAATGCAGCAAAGGGCTCTGTTTGTAACTTGCACTGACTGATTTAAGCTAAATACTTCTCCTATGCAGATCGGAAGCTCAAGAAAGTGAGGACCTGGCCTCTGTTGAGGGGCCGACGTCTCTCAAAAGCAAATGGGAGCTGTCCAGGGCTCATAGTGCTGATTTTCTTTGATAGGGAGGGGGCGTCCCACCTGAATTCACACTTCCTTTTGCTCTCTTTCCACCTTGCTATTATCTGATTTGGTTTCCCAAAGGACTTCAGTCTTGCAGCTTTTGCTGCAAATGATCCATGCAAAGCAATAGCATTTCTGCATGGTTGTGGTCTCTGGGTCAGGGTATTTGTTTGAAAGCAGAGTCATTCAATTTACAGCTATACAGCCCCAGAAGATCATTATTTCAATGGTTGCAACAAAAATGTAGAATTGTTTTGAAGAACTGAAATGTTCAAAATTGCATATTGCAATATCAAACGGTAGCAACAACAAATATGCATGTGAAGATGCCTTTTAAAAACACAGAAGGCATTTTTCAGGGTTTTTTTTTTTGCCCGAAAAAAAGAGTATCTTTACTGCAGTCAGTTAATTCAAGTGCGAGAAGCAATAATGCCATTACTTGCACTCCTTCATAAAGGTGAATGCCAAGAATAGAGAATATTGGTTTCACTTTGCCAAGAAAGAATGAGAATTGTTCTCTGGTTTATTTCTTTGTTGTGAGTCATATTTGGCATTTACTAATTCAAGCAAGATCGAAGCCAAGTTGCAATGAATGGAAAAGGCCAGCACTTAACATTCACAATTGTCTCTCCCCTTTAGTATCTATGCTTTTATACAGTGTTGTTAACTTCTCTCTCCTTCCTACTAATCCCAACTGTGACCACCTTTTTCTGCCTCTTATGCCCAAAACCCCACTGTAGAAAACCCACACAGCGCTTCCTGTCTTTATTCCTTCAAAGCCACCTCAAAATCCACTTCCATTAAGCCCAGTCCTCTTTTCCATACTGAAAGAATGAGCCCACTTTCTAGTCTTACCTAGCTGCCCTTGCCCCATCTTTCTCCGATCCCTCTGTTGCTGACTCCTGCACAAATACAATTTGTGCTTGTTACTGAGGCCACAGGCTTGGGTTTTTCTGCTTATCATTCTGTAATGCTACACACTTGTAGGAATGGTGGCAGCAACACTAACAACACAATATTAGGAGTAGTGATGATGAGGATGATGTACGTATATGTCATTTATGTTCAAGCTTTGAGAGGAAAGATAGAAGCATGAACTTAGGCTAGGTCCTTTATTAACTTTCCTGAAAAGCTGGCTGAAAAGTCAGCTGTAGCTCTGAAACATAAACATGGTATATCCTTGTCTGAATAGTGTTTATACTTACATCTACAAAGCCTGTCCTCAGCACAAGGTCTTTTACCCATCCTCCTAAAGGTTTCAGTGATGGGTATGCTGCATTAGCCCAGAGTGCTGGAACTTGGTTGTTAAGAAAGCTGTGATACACTCTCTCCATCTCTTCTGACATCACGACAAAACCCGCAATAGCTTTGTTAAGTGTTTGTAGAGAGGTCTGAAAGTTGAAAAACAATAGTATGACTCAGTATGTCCTGAAAAAAAAAAAGAATGTAAGACCATGTAAAAACCTCTACCTCTAAAAGTAATCAGAGTGGGTTCCAGGTGAACTTCTTTAGGAAAAGCATTTCAAATGTGATGTGCTACAAATGAAAATACACTCTTTCCAGTCACTGTTTACTTAATCTCAGATGGTGGTGAGACATCCACAAGAGTGTCATTTGAAAATCAAAATCTCATCCTTCATATAGGCTGGTTCCAAAATGTTTAAGGCTTTCTTGAATAAACAACAGCATTTTTTTGTTCAGATGAGGAGCAGCAGCTGATGTAGCTATTTAAAAATTGGTGAATATGTTCTCTCGGGATGCAGGTGGCGCAGTGGTTTAAACCGCTGTGCTGCTGGGCTGGTTGATCAAAAGGTTGCCGGTTTGAATCTGCACAACGGGGTGAGTTCCCGTTGCTCCGTCCCAGCTCCTGCCAACCTTGCAGTTCAAAAGCATGCAAATACAAGTAGATAAAAAGGTACCACTTTGGTGGGAAGGTAACAGCGTTCCATGCACTTCAATGTTTAGTCATGCTGGCCACACAACCACGGAGACTGTCTGCGAACAAATGCTGGCTCCCTCAGCTAGGAAACGGAGATGAGCATTGCCCCCTAGAGTCAGGCATGACTGGACTTAACATCAAGGGGAAACCTTTGCCTTTACCTTTACTATGTTCTCACAGTTCCAGTTTGACCATCATAGAAAGTCCATGTACCACTTGCATTTTGTACTAATTGAAGTCTTCAAAGACAGACACATTGCAAAAGGTTCAAGAGAATGGATAAATGTGGCCAAGCTACCTTTGCCCAGGCTAGCTCTGGCAGCCAGTTTCAGGTACAGATGGCACTTATTCCTTGAGAGGCAATGATAAATCTATCATTTATCATTTACCCCCATGTTGTAAGCCAAATCCTTTAGGAGGAATGAAACCTCATCTAGAACACCACCAACCTGGCCTGGATAAATATAAAGAACTTTATCTGGTGCCACAAGAGAGAGGATATGCCAGATGAGCCTCTACAGAGTAAATTGTAAGCTGAGACGTCAGTAGATGGGGTAGAAAAGTTTTAAATAAATACTTTCTTCTGTCACCGCTTACCATCCTCAGAAGGTACGGATATCTGGAGAAGGATCTCTGAAGATTATTTCATATTCATTAATTGCGATATAGCACTAAACCATAGTTCAGTGTTACATGATGAACCTGCTTTCCCCTTTTCTCCTCCTCTAGTGTGGCTGTGGAGATCAGAAGCATCAGTTCCATGTTGCACTAACCCCAGTTTGTCATGTGATTTATTTTAACATGGTTTATTTGAGCAAGTCCAGGGCAGAACCCTCTCAGCCATGCCAGAGAAGGAGAATCAAGGGAAGAGAACACGAGCTTGAGCCTTGTTCTCAGAGCACGAAACTATGGTGTTGAATCTGAACAAAGTCATTCACTCTTATACCACAATCCTGTTTCAACAGAACTTCAGCTGAAGCAGGTGTCCTTCAGAGCATTACTCTGGTCAGCTAGTGGTAGTGTGCCTATATGTATGGAATTTAATCACAGAATCAAACCAAAAATAAAATGGACCTTTACTGCATACTTGTTTTACAATGTAGAAGCACATGCTATAGCAACGATTAATTTTATAGAAAACTCATGGGAACTTGTTATTTAATTTTAGTTTGTTGTTTCAAAATGCTTTAAACCAAATGAAGGCAGTCGAGCTCTCTGGGCTGGCATTGGGGATGATCTGTAATCAAACATGACATAACCAAATGTGCTAAGAAACAAGGGTGAAAATTCCTGTCAGTAAAATTATACGCCTATGAGAACAGTGCGATATTCTTAGAGCTGTTTTCCTGTTTTGTCACTCTTTTCTTCCCAGCTTATTGAGCATTTTCAGCAATTACTTTAATAAAAATTAATAATAATTAATTGAAAATAGCTGTATGCTACTTTGCCAAAATGTCTACTGGACATTTATAGTTGTTGCAGGGCACCTCATATATCCTGCTTGCATCTATGAAGGAAACATTTCCCAAATGAAGCCACTGTAGAAATGTGTAGCATCCAAAGTTTACTCTAACTTGTACACCCACACGCACTGCTCTAAGCCCAAAGACAGAAACGGCTTAAATTATAATGGCTGATAAAATGGGAAACATGACTAAAATAAATGCAAGAAATCAGAGGATAAGGAAGGAAGGATGCAAAAAGCTAGAGGGATAACAAGAGCTCACTTTGAAAGGATAAGCAGGGAGACTGCAGATGTTTTGTGGAGTTCAGAAAAGAGGTAGATTATGGAACAGAAGAGGAGCCAAAACTGAGGACCACTGTGAGTGGCGGAAGTTAGAAGTGAAGTGATTTCAGACTTTAGAGTTAATGGTTTTGCAAGAGGATCGTAAGAGGATAGTGACTGGGTTCTCATGGTACAAGAAACCTGCATAGATGAAAAGCCATGACAGATTGTGTCATGTGAAGCTAGGCCAATTCCTACAGGGTGGTTTGTTTGTGGGCAACAACCTCAGTCTTATAGTTGGGATAATGTAATTTTGACAGGGACATAAACATTCATGCCAGCAAAAAAACCCTGAACAGCCCTGTCAAAAACATTTGTTAAATAAACCATAGCTTTGACAGCTAGCTGTCAAACCTCCATATTCCTGTAAAAGGAGTAGCTTGCACTTTTCTAGCACAAGAACCTTGGCAGAGGGTGGAAAAGTGTGAGAAATGCCCCCCCACGAACTTCTGGAGGCTCTTACAGTTGAAGAGGGTGGTCTATTGGTCATGATGTTCCATGAACAAAGATAACTTGAAGTTTTGGTTCCTCTTAACAGCTGTCACTCCTTCATGGATCACTGTCTTGTCGTGGCGAAGGGGCTTGTGTAGCTCAATAAAGCTATGAGCTTTGCCATGCAGGGGCACCCAAGACAGAAAGGTCATAGCAGAGAGTTCTGACAAAACGTGATCTACTGGAGAAGGACATGGCAACCCACTCCAGTATCTTTGCCATGAAAACCTCATGGACAGTACCAAAAGGCAAAAAGAAATGACGCCGGAAGATGAGCCCCTCAGGTCGGAAGGTGTCCAATATGCTACTGGGGAAGAGCAGAGGGCTAGTACTAGTAGTGCCAAAAAGAATGAAGCGACTGGGTCAAAGCCGAAAGGACACTCAGTTGCAGATGTATCTGGTGGTGAAAGGAGAGTCCAATGCTGCAAAGATCTATACTCCATAGGAACCTGGAATGTAAGATCCATGAATCAAGGCAAGCTGGACCTGGTCAAAGAAGAGATGACAAGACTGAACATCGACATCTTAGGAATCAGTGAACTAAAATGGACAGGAATGGGTGAATTTAATTCAGATGACCATCAGGTATACTACTGTGGGCAAGAATCCCTCAGAAGAAATGGAGTAGCCTTCGTAGTCAATAAAAGAGTAGGAAAAGCAGTACTGGCATACAATCTCCAAAATAACAAAATGATCTCAGTTCGAATCCAGGGCAAACCATTCAACCTCACAGTAGTCCAAGTCTATGCCCCAACCACTGGTGCTGAAGAGGCTGAAGTTGACCGGTTCTATGAAGGCCTACAACACCTTCTAGAATTAACACCCAAAAATGATGTCCTTATCATCATGGGAGATTGGAATGCTAAAGTAGGAAGCCAAAAAATAACCAGAATAACAGGCAAGTTTGGCCTTGGAATACAAAATGAAGCAGGGC